GTACTGTGGGTCTGCCCATTATGTAATGTGAACCATCCTGTCCAGGGATGGGTGTGTCCTAAAGTAAGTGAGGCAAAAAACCAGACTGAGCGGGAAGTCAAGGTGAAGGAGCTACCAAAATGGAAGGAGAATGAAAAAAAAAATGATTGAGAGGAGAGTCTGAGGGAGAGGTGTACTAGAATAGGCTTGTACCAAATGAGTAGTGGTGGAGTGCATGTAATAACCTGGCAGTTCTCCTGTGTGGGTGGGACAGAGTTCATAGTTTTTATTTTCTTTTATTGTAGAGTAGCCTAAATTACAGTGCATCTGAGTCATTCATGAGGCATCTAAAAGCTGATTTGATTCTCCCAGATAAACCCGTAATTGTAGTTCAATCTGTTTTCAGTCTTTTAGAGAAGGAGGGAAAAGCTATTACAGTCACATTATAGCTATTTTTCTTTATGTCTTCATTTAATAATTCAGTGGGGCTAGAGTCAAACGGTGGCAAGGACCCTCCACCTGCCACCAGAACGAAGCCTGAAGTTAACATCTCAGTGAGGCTCCTGAAGGTGTGGACTTTATCATAGGGACAGTATTCTGGTCAAACGACCAATCAGGAAACTCAGTCGAGTCCTGTTGGCACAAAGTACACAAAGTGAAGGCATCCTAATTTTTAGCCTAGTTTCCTCCTGACTGGTGTCACATACAGACGACAGATGGTTCTGACGTCTGTCTAAAGATAGTGGATGCAAAAGTTATGCAGATAGACGCAGGAGGAAATAAGACAGTTATGTGAGAAATGTTTCGTGGACCGTGTGTTAGAACAGGACACCACTCGTCCCTCACTATAAAACATCAGGATTTTCTCTTTTTTTTATGACAATGAATTTTTTTTTTTTTAGTATCCAAAGTTCCACATCTTATGATGTCATTAGAATGAAAGTACTGAAGACACGAGCTTTAGAATTCATGCTCTGTGGATCCAATAATTCTATTATTCGTCTACTTATTGTTACTCCATTAAACAGTCAACCTGTTACTAGCACACTTTTTTGCATGTCATCTAAGGAAGGAAGGAGAGTGAACTCCTTGTCACTGTGACACAGCCCACCACTGCACACAACCAAATGTGACCTCTGCTTTTAACCCATCACCAAAGTGAACAGTGGGCAGCTTTAAGCACCCGGGGAGCAGTGGTAACTTGGCAGCTAGTGGACTCGAACCTTCCGGACCCAAGCCCGCTTCCTTAACCACTAAGCCACCACTGCCCCTTTACCCCCTAGAGCATCTCAGGGCTAAAATACCACCTCAACGCCAAGCATGTCTCTGTGGAGGATTCAACTTCAGGTCAGGCAGCCGACTTGCGTCAGAGCAGCCTGACCGAGGCCACGGCAGTAAGTTAGACTACAGCTGAACAGCTGACTGACACAATCATCAAATAGATAGTGTGGTACTGTAGCCTGGTTAATACTGTTGAGGAAAAGGGCTTCACCGAGATTTTGATAGCAACTCTGAACTTTGAAAAAATTTCATATTTTTGTCATAAGGAATGTTGATTCATCTAGAACAATCATGATTTATTTGATTAATTACAATGATTTTTTTTTACAGCTCTAGGAAATTGCATTCACATTTAAGAAATAAAATCAAAAATCATTAAATATATTATATATATTGATAAATACAGACTGAGTGAGATTTTCTTTTTTTCTTTTTTAACTTATTATACGTTTCTGCTTAGGCAGAATACTAAAATGTGTTTATCATGGAGTCTAAGACGCAGCATCTGAGTCTGTTCTCTCAGGAGTTAATGATTCGTGGACAAAGTTACAGAGTTGACTTTAAATCAGGGAGCAGAGGCAGCCATTAGGCTTTTACAAATATTTACCCTGCACTAACACAGCAGAGCTGTCTGTTGTGAGCAGCAGTCAGTATGATGTACAGGCACAGACTCAGACTCACAGCACCACGTACTGGAGCCGTACGTGCTGTGGCCCGGGTTAGGTTCACTTTAGAACACTTCACTAAACAGGAAAATGTATCTATCGCAACTTTTTCTGACTCGGAGTAGGCCGCATGTGTGTGTGTGTCATATGGAAGGAGGGCAGAGTGGCTGTTAGGGAAATGACTGGGTTTGGGTGTGACCTGCTTGGCTGTGCACTGGTGATCATGTGAGACCTGTTCTAATTATACACTTTTCAAAAAGAAGGTCGAGTATCTCTCCCTCCCTCTCTCTCTCTCTCTCTCTGTGTGTGAGATGTAGTTTCTTGTAAGCGGTGGACGTTTCATACTGATCTCTTAAAAAAGTTCATAATCTTAAAATATAGATATAAATCTATAAAGTTGTTGCTTGGTAACAAACTCCATTTTGCTTTTATCAGTGAAGAACTGAAAATCTGCTAAACACTGAAAAATTACCTCCAGTTTACAAACCGAAACAGAATTAAAGTCTATCGCGGCCACATCCTGTTTGATTCCTTAATAAACGGTCTGACTGGTAACCAGATGACTGTCGCTCTCCTACAACTAAGTCCTGAAAGCAATAGTTCAAAACAGAATTATCTGATGTCAGACTATCAAATGTCAGACAGTCATACCGTGTATCAGAAATGACCATGTAAATGTTAAGGACATCCAGATGAAGTACAAACTGCCACAGTTAGCATCCCAGTAGTTCAAAGTGTGTTGTCGATGTCAGTTTCAGTTCTAGTTTTAGTTTTACGGTATATTGCTTTAAATAAAGTTGATTATTCTTATAAAGAAAAATGAAGAGAAAACTTATTCCAGAGCAATACCGACATTTTTAGACAGGTTTTTCCTATGTACATCTTGGTTTCAGCTAACATTAGCTCATGGCGTTGGAGAATAAATAATTGCTCTTTGTTTCTGATTTCCTCCATT